TCGGGATGCTTTGAGGTCAGGATGCTTTGGGGTCAGGATGCTTTGGGGTCAGGATGCTCTGTGTCAGGATGCTTTGGGGTCGGGATGCTTTGGGGTCAGGATGCTTTGGGGTCAGGATGCTCTGTGTCAGGATGCTTTGGGGGCGGGATGCTTTGGGGTCAGGATGCTTTGAAGTCAGGATGCTCTGTGTCAGGATGCTTTGGGGGCAGGATGCTTTGGGGTCAGGATGCTTTGGGATTGGGATGCAGCAGGCCCCTCTGCTGGGAGGCAGCAGCCTATCCTGGGCTGGGGTCTGAGCCAGGTGCCTTGGGGGTTTTACCTGGGCTGGAGATGCCTCCTGGTGGCCGTGGCCAGTCTGGGGAGCAGGAGGGTCTGTGCAGAATGTCACCTGTGCAGGTGACACCTGAGGAGGTGACACCTGCAAAGGTCACACCTGTGAAAGTCACATCTGCAGAGGTCACACCTGCTGAGGTGACACCTGCCGAGGTGACACCTGCAGAGCTCACACCTGTGGAGTTCACATGTGTGGAGGTAACACCGGTGGAGGTGACACCTGCCGAGGTCACACCTGCAGAGGTGCCCCCCGCAGGTGCTGGGGTGGGATGTGTGGCCCCAGGGGATGGCAGGTGCTGGCACAGCTGCTGGGGCTGCAGCCAGGCTCCTGGGGACGTTCAGAGGTGACGTGGTGGCTGTGGTTTGCCCAGCCCGGGTTCTCCCTGGGCAGGACAGGTGTGGGTGGCTCTGGGGCAGGTGTGCAGGGTGGCTGCAGGAGCGGGGCCGTGACTGCCACAGCAGTGAGGAGCCAGCTCAGCTCCTGCAGCCTGCTGGCCCAGAGCTGCCACAGCACAGGCTGGAGATGAGCTCCACGCTCCAGCCGGAGCCTCTTCCAGGGGCCTTTGTGGCATCCCATGAGCTCTCCCTGCTTGGTCAATCCTCAATCCTGGAAAAATTACCTACTTACCACAGAGCCACCCCTCCCAAAGCGAAAAACACTCTTCCCCATGGGCTTGGGTGTCGCAGCTTCCTCTGGTTTCTCCTTCCCCTGTCACCGGCCCGGCACCCCTGGTGGTCCCCCCCTGCCCCTGGTGGCCACCCCCTGTCCCTGGTGGCCGCCCCCTGTCCCTGGTGGCCGCCCCCTGTCCCTGGTGGCCGCCCCCTGTCCCTGGTGGCCGCCCCCTGTCCCTGGTGGCCGCCCCCTGTCCCTGGTGGCCGCCCCCTGTCCCTGGTGGCCGCCCCCTGTCCCTGGTGGCCGCCCCCTGTCCCTGGTGGCCGCCCCCTGTCCCTGGTGGCCGCCCCCTGTCCCTGGTGGCCGCCCCCTGTCCCTGGTGGCCGCCCCCTGTCCCTGGTGGCCGCCCCCTGTCCCTGGTGGCCGCCCCCTGTCCCTGGTGGCCGCCCCCTGTCCCTGGTGGCCGCCCCCTGTCCCTGGTGGCCGCCCCCTGTCCCTGGTGGCCGCCCCCTGTCCCTGGTGGCCGCCCCCTGTCCCTGGTGGCCGCCCCCTGTCCCTGGTGGCCGCCCCCTGTCCCTGGTGGCCGCCCCCTGTCCCTGGTGGCCGCCCCCTGTCCCTGGTGGCCGCCCCCTGTCCCTGGTGGCCGCCCCCTGTCCCTGGTGGCCGCCCCCTGTCCCTGGTGGCCGCCCCCTGTCCCTGGTGGCCGCCCCCTGTCCCTGGTGGCCGCCCCCTGTCCCTGGTGGCCGCCCCCTGTCCCTGGTGGCCGCCCCCTGTCCCTGGTGGCCGCCCCCTGTCCCTGGTGGCCGCCCCCTGTCCCTGGTGGCCGCCCCCTGTCCCTGGTGGCCGCCCCCTGTCCCTGGTGGCCGCCCCCTGTCCCTGGTGGCCGCCCCCTGTCCCTGGTGGCCGCCCCCTGTCCCTGGTGGCCGCCCCCTGTCCCTGGTGGCCGCCCCCTGTCCCTGGTGGCCGCCCCCTGTCCCTGGTGGCCGCCCCCTGTCCCTGGTGGCCGCCCCCTGTCCCTGGTGGCCGCCCCCTGTCCCTGGTGGCCGCCCCCTGTCCCTGGTGGCCGCCCCCTGTCCCTGGTGGCCGCCCCCTGTCCCTGGTGGCCGCCCCCTGTCCCTGGTGGCCGCCCCCTGTCCCTGGTGGCCGCCCCCTGTCCCTGGTGGCCGCCCCCTGTCCCTGGTGGCCGCCCCCTGTCCCTGGTGGCCGCCCCCTGTCCCTGGTGGCCGCCCCCTGTCCCTGGTGGCCGCCCCCTGTCCCTGGTGGCCGCCCCCTGTCCCTGGTGGCCGCCCCCTGTCCCTGGTGGCCGCCCCCTGTCCCTGGTGGCCGCCCCCTGTCCCTGGTGGCCGCCCCCTGTCCCTGGTGGCCACCCCCTGCCCAGCCCTTAGCTCTGCCCCCACCCCTTCCCCGTTATAAGCTGCCCCTCGTTCCCCGGGTTTGTCCTCGTCGCGGTGGGGACTTTGTCCCGGCTGGGTGACAGCCGGGGGGGGACAGCCCCCCTTGCAAGCTCCGCGGAGTCCCAGCTGCCAGCGGTGGCTCTTGGGGTGACGCTGGGGTGGCTTTATTTCGCGATCAGCACCCAGAACCCAAACCTGGGGCTAACAGGAGCTTTTAGGCATCCCTCGGGAGGAGGGGTTTGGGGTAGCAGACCAAAGGGGTGTGGTTGGAGGCAGGGTATTTTACACTTCAATGAAGAAGCGCCAGTGTGAAAAACGCCAATCGCTTGTTTTTTTAAATTTTAAAAGTTTAATAGTAATAAAATGGTTATAAAAATAGTAATATAATTAGAGTAATGAAATTCGAACAATTGAGATTAGGACAATATGAGACAATAAAAACAAAGAGACACGGACATCCAGGTACCTCTTTCTGGGCAACACAACCCTGAAAAAGGACCCCAGTTAACAGAGGATTAACCCTTAAAAACAATCGCCTGTTGCATATTCATACATCCCATACATGATGCATAAATTCCATCCAAACTCAGGATTCTGTCTGATCACTGTCAACTTCTTCCTCTGAATCCTCATGCCGTCTTCCTGTCTGAGCGAGGTGGGAAGAAGTTCGTTTTCTGCTGATAAGGGAGCAATAAATTCCCTTTCTTTGAAAGATTTAGATGTCCTGTGGCTTCTGTCTGGTGCAAGTCCTTTCTTAAAGAAATATCTTACATAGCACAGTTTCTATTTTAACATTATGTTATAACCTAAAACTATATTTAGCACACTACTTAAGAAAATTATTACAGCATAACTTTCTAACATAACACATACAATATTCATTTTAATACTTGCGAAAAGCCAATCATAAAATACACATTTTTCACACTAGGGAGGGGAATAACTTGGGTAAACTAATAGGGTCCCAAAGGACGCAAGATGGACAGGGAATTCTCCAGAAGAAAGGACAGGTTTGGGAGAGGATTACCACCCAGAGGGAGCAGGGAGTGAGGGGGATTCGGGGGAACAGGGCAGGGATAGGAGGGATTAACGACTGGGAAGGTGGGGGTTTAAAACTTGGTAGGGAGTGGCATAAGGGGATTGCAAGATCACAAACGGAACAGCAAGCAGACCAATAAAACTAAAAACGCACTGCCAACAGCGACTGTGTTACTCTGCTGGGATAAAACCTTGCAAAAGAGCCTTTCTTGCCTCTGTCGCTGAGCCAGCTGCCGTGGGGGTTGAGTGGAGCTTTGGCTGCGTGGCCTGAATGGCAACTCAGCCTGCTTTTCCACAGGAGAGGCTTGCTGGGCACAAGAGAGGGGCAGCAGCACCTGCCGCTTTAACACCCGCATTATTCTGTGATTCCGTGATTCTGTGATTCTGCGATTCCGTGATTCCGTGATTCTGTGATTCTGTGATTCTGTGATTCCGTGATTCCTTGATTCTGTGACTCCGTGATTCCGTGATTCTGTGATTCTGTGATTCCTTGATTCTGTGATTCTGTGATTCCGCGATTCCGTGATTCTGTGATTCCTTGATTCTGTGATTCTGTGATTCCTTGATTCTGTGATTCTGTGATTCCTTGATTCTGTGATTCTGTGATTCCTTGATTCTGTGATTCCGTGATTCTGTGATTCTGTGATTCCATGATTCCGTGATTCCGTGATTCTGTGATTCTGTAATTCTGTTATTCCGTGATTCCGTGATTCCTTGATTCTGTGATTCCGTGATTCGGTTATTCCGTGATTCCATTACTCCGTAATTCCGTGATTCCGTTATTCTGTGATTCCATGGTTCCGTGATTCCGTGACTCTGTGATTCCGTGATTCTGTGATTCCGTGAATCTGTGATTCTGTGATTCCGTTATTCCGTGATTCCATTATTCCGTGATTCCGTGGTTCCGTGATTCCGTGAATCTGTGATTCTGTGATTCTGTTATTCCGTGATGATTCCGTGATTCCGAGATGATTCCGTGATTCCGTGATTTTTAACTGGCGCCCCACGTGGGGCTAGACCTTCACTCCAAAAGAGCTTTATTTCTGAGTGCTGTGATGGTTATCATTTTATTTAATATATTTATTTGTGGAATTGCTGAGGGAAGTGTCTGGTCGCTGTGCACCTCCCAGAGCAGGCTCCCGTGCTCAGAACCTCTCTGGATTCCCAGAAAAGCCTGGATGCAGCTGGGGCTGTGCACAGCCCAGGTTAACCAGTAAGGTCTGGCTGATCAGGCCAGGACGGGCCAGAGAGGAAAGAAAATGTGGTTTTTTTGGGAGCTGCCCGTGCAGCAGGGCGTGCCAGCCTCCTCTGAAGGGTTATTGCAGAGCACCAAACAGCACGAGGCGGATTTGGTTGCTTTTTTTAAGGTAAAAAGGGAAGTTTATTTTCCGATTTAACATTGATAGATTTCTAGAAGTGACAGTGGATTGGAGGGGGGAAGTGACACTGGACGAATTAACAGCTTATTGAATTTTTATTTTTCTACAAAAGAATGCAAAACAATAAGTTCTTTACATATATACGTATATTTATGTGAGAAAGTTCGTTACAAGAATGCAAAGATCAGAAGGCTTAGAAGACCTTAAAGAACTGGGGTGACACTGAAGCCCCCCTGTCCCCAGGTGAACCAGGGGAACATGCCCGGCATCCAGAGCACCTTCCTGGCCATGGACACGGAGGAGGGAGTGGAGGTGGTGTGGAACGAGCTGCTCTTCACCGACAAGAAAGCCTTCAAAGCACACGAGGTGAGCCCCCCGAGCCCCCCGCAGCTTCCCGGGGGGCACAGCCGGGCAGGAGGGGCTCCTGCCCCTGGCACGGGGCCCTGCTGGGCTGCTGCCTCCAAGGGAGCTCCCAGGGACCTGGGGGCAGTGCCTGGGGCATCCCCAGGGCTTGGGGGGCCCTGCCCCATCCCGGGAGCTTCTGCG